CATGAATTCATCATTTACAAAAGTAGCCCACTGTAGTAATTCTTTACACATTTATGACAGGTTAACTGAAAACCTTCCCTTGCTCATGTTGATCTAATAAAGTCTAGTTGATAATTTATCAGGTACAGTGAAGTACTCTAATTTGATAAGATTCTAGATCTGGTATGTCAGAATAAAAGGAGTGACGTGTAAGACAAGCTTTGTAGATGAATTAGAGTGAAAGAAAAAGGGGAATGTGAAGGTCTAAATCTTTCTTTTAAATTCACACGCACATGCACATATATGCCACAGTGAGAACTTGGAGGCCAAAGGAAAACTTATGGAGTCAGCTCTCCCGCTCCATCATGTATATTATCAGGCATAGCAGCAAGCTCCTGTACTTACTGAATCATCTCTGGCTTGTGTCTGAGTCCTAACATCTTGCTGAATTTGTCGCTGTTCCTCAACTTTTTGTTGAAGCCTTTTTGACAGGGTTAGAATCCAAGGCCTTGCACAGAAGGGTGCAAGTGCTCTACCACTGAGCTTACCTGCAACCCTGAAATAAATTTCAGGGAAGTAAAGCTGTTGCTTTTCCAGGCTGTTTTTGAGCCTTAGGGTAAGGGAAAAGGCCTCTAGTTAACAAACTCCCTTCCCCAATCAATTTGAGATTAATTCCTAAGCTTGGAGTTTATACCACTCACACTGTTTTTCTACTCTTTGTCCTACAGGGGTTGATAGTCCTTGGGGAGGCACCTTTCTCAGACCATACAACAGACTTATTTTCACTTAGTTCTGAGGTGAAGACAGATCATGGGACTGATAAATTGGTAAGTATAAAAGTTAGAAAAGGGGGAAAGAAATAAGGTAGCTCTTAACAGGTCAAGCAAACTACAGCCAGCTCAAACACTAAGTTAGAGTAGTGGTTGAAATCAGGGCACTGTTGTTACAACATGCTCATACGTTTTTAATGGGGTAACTTTCTGAACCAGTATAACGTGTGCACGTGCATGGGTGCATGTGTGTGAAAGCTTTTTCAGTAAAATGTAAGATTAAGGCTGGGGATGAAGCTTACCTAGTAGAGGGATTGTATGTCATGCACAACTCTCTATTTCAATTCTCAGCACTGCATAAGCCAGATAATTCCAGCACTTGGGAGGAGCTTCAGAATATCAAGATCATCTTTTGCTACATAGTGAGTTTGAGCCAAGATTAGGAAACATGGGACCTTGTCTCAAAACAAACAAACAAACAAACAAACAAACAAACAAAAAAAACAGCCCACAAAAACATCAAAAGTTGGGTTAGCCTTCGGGAAAAGAGGAAGTATGATAAAGATGTCCCATTTAGGGTCAGACATCATTAAAAAGATTGTAAGAGCCAGAGATGTTTAATGACAGCTAGGAAACAGTGTCTTTCAGACATCTCAGGGCAGTTGCACATATAAATTCATAGTGGTTATGACAGTATGTGTAAGACCTGTATAGATTCTCTAGCCAGACAAAATACCAACATAGAGAGGAGAGGTGGTCACAAAGCCCTACCTATAGCCAAGAAGTTGCTGCCCACTGGTAGCTGCTGAGAGGGAGTTAGGTTTTTCCAGTGGAAGGCCACTCATTCAGGTGTATATAGACAACACAGTTGTACTTTGTCGGCTAGGGGGACTGGGGGTTGGAGACAGACTCTCTCTTATGTAGTCCAGACAATCCTGGAACTCACTGTGTAGACCAGTCTATCCTTGAACACACAAATCCTCCTGCCTCTGCTTCACAGAGACTGTCTACAAATTAAGAGGAAGAAGAAACCAGAATAGAGAGAATGGCACATGGTGTGCAGTCAGTTACTTTTCATCAAATGTTAAGATAATTTATTGTGAGCAAGGGATGTGAGGGATGTGGCTCAGTGAATTTATGTAATAGCCCTTATTTGAAGAAATCTAAAGAAATTTTAAAAATTGGTTGTTTTGTTCTGAGGCAGTATAGGTCAAGTTAAGCATCAGAGTCTCAATCCCACTGCTTCAGCCTCTGAAGTGCTGTGATTACAAGCAAGAACTGCCATTACATACAATAATGTCTTTCCTTGTCATTCAGTTATTTATTTAGTGTGTGTGTGCTGAGGAGGGGAGCACAAGGTTGATATCTGGTGTTTTCCTGTTTGCATTCCATCTTTTATATTGAGATCCTCACTATAAGGCAGAGTTCTCCAATTCAGGTAGTCTAGCTTGACAGCTTGCTCCAGGGGCTCCATTGTCTCTGCTTCCCTGGCTCTGGGATTATAGGAGGGCTGTCACTCTAGCTCATGATTTATGAAAGCTCCCAGGGATCCAAATTAAGATCCTTATGCTTGCTTGGCAAGTGTTTTACTCACTGAACCTATTTGCTCAGCTCTTTATTCAGTTACTTATTTCATAATAGATCTGTGACCGTTGATCTTATTTTATATGGGTTCTTTTTTTAGATTCATATGCTTGAATTATCTAGTTATGACATTGGGATCGCCTTTAGATTGGCTCCTAGGGCATTTTTACTTGTTGTTTTATTTTTTTGTTTTGAGGTAATATGTGACTAAGCTGCCCTGGCTGACCTTGGAGAACATTGTCTAGAAACCAAGATCTGGTTACTGGTTACACTCAATGTTATCTGTATCATTGATTATAAGATTTCTCAATAGATAAAGCCAAGAAACTTAACTACTGGCATTCATATATCTAACACATCTATTTTATTTCATTATCTGTTTATCCTTATGTTTTAAAAATTATGAGTTGGCGCTATCCCAGCACTACTAGGAAGGCTTTCGGCAAAATCAAGAGTTTAAGACTAAGGGCTAGAGAGAGAGAGATGGCTTTGTAGTTAAGAGTACAAGATGCTTTTGCAGAGGACTTTAATTCTTTTCTCAGCCCCTGCATCTGCTGTGGGATGTCTTGGTGTATGCTGTGAATATGTGTTGCTCTCATTGGTTGATAAATAAAGCTTTTTGGCCAATGGTGAGGCAGAATAAGGTCAGGTGGTACATTCAAACTGAAGATGGAGATAAAGAAGAGTGGAATCATGAGAGACACTAGCCCACCACCCAAGGAGCAACAAGATGCCAGCATAAACAGCTATGTGGCAACATATAGATTATAGGTTGATTTAAGAAGAAAGAGCTGGCTAGTAAGAAGCCTGGGCCATGGACCAAACAGTTTGTAATTAATATAAGCCTCTTGTGTGTTTATTTTATAAGCTGCTGTGGACTGGGCTGGATACAGGAAAACTTCAAACTACATGCATCATGGCTCACAACCTATGGAACTCCAGTTGTAGGGGATCTGATGCCTTTCCTATAAAGGCACCAGGCACCCATACACATATGCAAGGAAAATACTCACGCACATAAAATAATCTAAAAAAGAAAAAAATGAGATTGAGAACAGCCTGGCTACATAGTTAAATCCTGTGTCAATAAACAAACCAACCCATTGCTAACAGTTCATCATAATAGTTTTCACTTTGTTATCAACAGTTACTTGTTTATTTTTATTTTGTTACTTGATACTGCTTTCCAAGGCTGACCTCTAACTCACAGCAGTCCTCTTAACTCGGCCTCCAAAGTGCTGCAGCTAGATATGTGTGTCACTACATTTGACAGTAACTATCTATTCAATAGAATACCTATGTAAAATAGTTTTATTAACCCCTGGTCATATACAGTGTGAAATAAATTTACTACCCTAGAGTATAATGCTTGGGTACAGAATTTTGGTTTTTTGAGACAGGGTTTCTCTGTGTAGCTTTGCGCCTTTCCTGGAACTCACTTGGTAGCCCAGGCTGGCCTCGAACTCACAAAGATCCGCCTGCCTCTGCCTCCTGAGTGCTGGGATTAAAGGCGTGCGCCACCACCGCCCGGCTTGAGTACAGAATATTAATGCTATCTTATCATACAGTTCAAACTGTTTTCTGAAGTAGAAATTAATTTCTTTCTTTATGGGTTTGTTGTTGGTTTTATTGTTGTGTTTTGTTTGTTTGTTTGACATAAGGTGTTTCTACATAGAACTGACTGTCCTGGCTCTGCCTCTGAGTGCTGGGATTAAAGGCATGTTCTATTCTTGGCCTTCTTTATGTCTTTTGTGGTGGTTAATAGTGTTTTTGTGATAGGGGTCTATTTGTTTATAAATACTGGCCTGGTGGCGGTGGCGGTGGCTCACGCCTTTAATCCCGGCACTCGGGAGGCAGAGCCAGGCAGATCTCTGTGAATTCGAGGTCAGCCTGGGCTACTAAGTGAGTTCCAGGAAAGGCACAAAGCTACACAGAGAAACCCTGGCTTGAAAAACCTAAAATAAATACGTACATACGTACGTATGTACGTACACACATACATACATACATACATACATACATACATACATACATACATACATATATACATACTATATTCCGCTTCACAAAATGGTTGAGGGTTTTGGGGATTTTTTTGTTTTTTGTTTTGGTTTTTTTGTTGTTGTTTTGTTTTGTTTTTTGTTTTGGTTTTTTTTTGTTTTTGAGGAGAGGAGGTTCAAGAAACAATTGTATGGTTCTAAAAGATACATTCTTTCGGGTTTTTTCCTTTTCTTTTTTCTTTTTGTTTTTTTAGCTTTTTTTCCATCTTCCATTAGTTTTGGATTATCTTTTCCTTGGTTTTAGTTTTGTTTTATTGTTTTGTACACAAATAGGCACTTGTACATTTTTGTTGTTGATATGTTTATGTTGTTTCAAGATGAGATTTTATATAGCCCAGAAACCTAGTATGTAGCTGAGAGTGACCATGGTTAAATGACCATGTAGCCTTAAATTCAAAAATTGAGGATTTTGTTTAGTGAAAACATTTCTTCCTTGAGTATTGGTAAATAATGTCAGTAAAGTATTATATGTTGGTTATCTTTTGTCCTTTCCATACTCATTCTACTAAACAACTGAACTATTAAGTCTTAATATGGTTTCTCACAAGAAAGGTATGCTAAAAATGTAAGCTATTGCTTTTTCAGTAGTTGAAGATAACATTCTTACCTTTGGTTAAGCGGGAATCGTTTCTTTTCCTTGAGTTATTGCATTTTCTGGGGATGATGAGTGGGTCTTTGGTCCTACAAACGTTTGAGGATAGAATTAAAGGGATAGAACCTGGCTAAGAAATATTGATCCATAACAGTCTTTTTGAGTAAAATTGGCTGTAAATAACGAAGTTAAGCAATAAGAATTTACAAGATGGTTTTCCGTTGGTATTTCCTTAGATTATACATATTTGCAATACTGTATATAAATATAAATCTTGGTTGTAGGTTTATTGGACTTACAACATTATTCCTTTTGAAATTTTGAAAATAGTAGTTCTAGGGCCTAGGGATGAAAGCTCCTGGTTCACTTGCTAACACCATATAAGCCAGCTCTAGAGAGTTTGAGGCTAACCATGGATACATGAGAATACATGTCTCAAACAGATACCAAATTGTGTAGATTTTCTTTAATGATCAATCCGCAAACAGGAAAGTGCAGTGAGGTTTGTGACCTCATTTTAAAATATGTTTAAACTGATACCAGATAAGTAACTTAGTGAGAGTCTCCCACTTCCATTTAGGATAATTTCCTGGCCAAAGCGCTAGTTTGTAGAAATGAATAGTACATTGTGTATGTCGCTAACAATATTTACTGATATCATTTAAAACTGTTCTTGATTATCAAGCTGACAAGATGACTCAGCTGGTAAAGGCACTTGCTACAAAAGCCTGGTGACCTAAGTTCAGTCCTCCTGCACCTACGTAAAGTTGGAAAGGAGAGAACCAACTCCACAAAGTTGTCTTTTGACCTCCACATACAGGCAAGGGCACACACAGACCCAAGCTATTTTAAAGAACAAAAACCCAAAACTATGCAATGTATCATTGAGATGATGGGGGCTTTGAGCTAAGAAGGGATTCCTTAGAAAGCTTGCGCTTGTGTGTCCGCCCACTCTACAGAACCTCTACATAATATGACTCTTCAGGGATTTTTGTCACGTTTCTCTGCTTTGGCTAAAAGGGCAGATTATCAAGTCTAGTGCTTGCTTTTTCCATTGCTATGTGAATTGTTTTATGCTTAACCTTACTCTTTCAATTAAAAAAAGTTTACAGTATGTATTCCTTTTAATTCTCATGATTATTCCAAAAGGCAATCCTTTGTGGCCCTGCTTTAGACACAAGGATTATAAATGCATTCTGCCTGCCACTTTAAAACTTTTTTATCCTTTTATGTAAATGTGAGCCATGTAACCGAGTTCATCTGAATGTTTAAAAAAAAAAAAAACAAAAAACAAAAAACTCGGGCTGGTGAGATGTCTCAGAGGTTAAGAGCACTGGCTGCTCTTCCAGAGGTCCTGAGTTCAATTCCCAGTACCCACATGGTGGCTCACAACCATCTGTAATAAGATCTGGCTCCCTGAGGTTGGGGATTTAGCTCAGTGGTAGAGCGATTGCTAGGCTCTAAGCTCTAGGCCCTAGGTTCGATCCTCAGCTCAAAAAAAAAAAAAGATCTGGCTCCCTCTTCTGGCCTGCAGGGATACATGCCAACAGAACACTGTACACATAATGAATAAATAAATCTTTTATTTTTAAAAAAAAAAAAAAACTCTTGGAAGCTTCTGTGATAATGCCTACTCTTTGGGCCAGGGAAGTCCGATTCTTTGACTCTTACAGTTTAAGACAAGGTCTCTGCTGGGTGATGGTGACACATGCCTTTAGTCTCAGCAATCAAAGCAGAGGCAAGAGAATCTCTGTGCCGGAGGCCAGCCTGGTCTACAAAGTGAGTTCCAGGACAGCCAGAGCTAAGTGCAGAGAAACCCTGTCTTAAAACAACTAACAAACAAACAAACAAAGACAGGGTCTCAGTTTGTAACTCTAGCTGACCTGGAACTTGCTATATAGATCAAACTGATCTATCTGCCTGACTCTATTTCATGGAGGGCTAGAGTTAAAAGAATGTTCCTTTTTATACTTTCTTGCTGGAGGTATTTAAGACATTTGAATTATACTTTCCATTTTCTGAAAACACTAATGATGTGAGCCCCTACAGTAGTAGTGATCAAGCCCAAAGTCCATCCGGATCAAGATTGTTCATTAAATACTTGTTAACATGTTTGCAGCTTTTTAGACTGCAGAATAAGGTGTGGACTTTTTGTCTTAAGGCATTATGAATGTGTCTAAGAAACTGGGTAACGGGACTGGAGAGATGGCTCAGAGGTTAAGAGCACTGACTGCTCTTCCAGAGGACCTGGGTTCAATTCCCAGCACCCACGTTGCTGTTCACAGCTGCCTGTAACTCAGTTCCAGGGGACCTGAAACCCTCAGACAAAACACCAGTGCACATAAAATAAAAATTTTTTAAAAAGAAAGAAAGAAACTGGGTCACTTCACACATATTTGTAAGTAGTGTTCTATTTCTAAGTGGAACATAATGATCAGGCTTAGTATTTTAAGTTCTTTTCATTTGAGAATGATTTAATCTATTTCTCCAAATACCCTGCTTTTAATACAGGATTTCTCTCAAAGTCTCTGTGGTGATTTGGTTTGGTTTGGTTTGGTTTTGGTTTTGGTTTTGGTTTTGGTTTTGGTTTTTCAAGACCAAGTTTCACTGTATAGTCCTGGTTGTCCTGGAATTTAAATAGATCCACCTGCCCCTGCCTCCCTAGTGCTGTGATTGAAGGCATGGGCCACCACCACCCAACTCAAAGTCAGTGTCTATCTGTCTGTCCTGTCTGTCTGTCTGTCTCTCTCTCTCTAATAATTGATTTTTATTTTATGTGCATTGGTGTTTTGCCTGTATATATTCTGTGTGAGGGTGCCAGATCCCCTGGAACTGGAGTTACAGGCAGCTGTGAACCACCATGTGGTTGCTGGGATTGAACCAGGCTCCTCTGGAAGAGCAGCCAATGCACTTAACCACTAAGCCATCTCTCTTAAAGTAATAGATCAATTTTAAGTTTCTAGAGCCACCTTCTTAACTAAATTTTCTTGATGTCTATGTGTTCTTCAACCCTGGCATCACTAAGTAATATTTTTTAAATAAACTTCAGTATTTGTGTTTGCACTAACTTACCTCAGAAAAAATTAGCTTCCTTTGTGGAAAAAAAATCACATTAAAGAATAACAAATTTCAATTTCATTGCTGTGTTAATTATTTTATAACAAAACCTGGCTCTTTCATCAGAGCAAAGACATAATTTTGTATTTAAATGTGTATATCTATAGACATAAAAATGACAACTGGCTGCTGAGCAGTAGTTTGCTGTGAATGATAAGATTGCCTCTGATTTTACTTCCTCCCTTTTCCTTTAGGGAAGATTGTTTCTGTAATGAATTTTTATAAATTTGTTTTGTAATAAGATTTTGTTAAGAGTAGTAACATTTTATCCTGACAACTGTCTTTGTGGTTAAAAATCTCATACTCTGGGCTGAGTGTGGTGGCAAACACCTTTAACCCCAGCTCTTAGAAGGCACAGAGGTAGGCTGGTCTTTGTGAGTTTGAAGCAAATCTGATTCACATAGCAAGTTCCAGTCCAGCCAAGTGCATGCTGAGACCCTGTGTCAAAAAATAAAAATGAGCCTCTCAATCTTTCTTCTAAAGAAACCTTAATCAAATTGAAGAGTCAGCATTGGTAACTTAAAAATTTTAGGCACACAAATCATGCTGATTTCAGAATTTTAGTGCTGAAACATTTTACACATAGATTGTTTTATTTGATTGTTGTTCCTGAGCTATAATCTTACTATATAACCCAAATTGGGCTCCAGCTCTCGCTAACCCTTAGCTTGAAATCCTTTTGACTCACAAATACTAGGATCACAGATGTACAACATCATGCTTGGCTATATTTTAAATGAATATGAAATTGCCTATTTGTGCATACCAGCAAGTAGACAGTCACAGCATCTTCAAGTTAATTGGAATGTCTTCTGAACCATATTGTTGTAAATCTGGAAAAAGGCTGTAACATGTATGATATCCTACATCTTTCTTTTGTGTCATGGTGCTCCTCCCCCATACTTGTTTTGTTTGGTATTTGGGGAGTTGGGTGGGGAGGTAGAGGCGGGGGTTTCCTATAGCTGAGGATGCCATTGAACTCTTGGTCCTCCTGCCCCTTCCAAAAACAGGCCTGTAGTATCAGGCCCCATTCCTTTTTCTTGCTGTAATATTTTTTTGTACCTTTTCAGATTCCTTGCAAATAGTAAATCTTCACAAGTATGTCAGAGGCTATTTGGACTCATCTGGTGTTTTGTTGTTGTGACCTGGTTTGGCTGTGTAATTCATTTTGGCTTTGAACTCTTTATTTCTGCCTCTGCTTCCCAGGTGCTTAGATTACAGGCCCATGTCACCATGCCCAGCTTATATTACCCACTGTAAAGGAAAATTTAAAATAGTTCTTCTCTAATGCGGTTCCATTATTTTTATATGTATATTTTTAACTCACCACAACTTTGGGTTTGCTTGTGTGTGAGTGCAAGATCCCTCTCCCTCTCCCCCCATTTGCAATGCTTGGGGGTCACCCCTAGGGTCTTAGGCATGCTAGATAAGTCTTCCTTAAATTTACTTTTTTTCAGAATAATGTTTTAAAATTTTTTATGTGTAGGGGTGTTTTGCTTGCATTGTATCTGTGTGACAGCTGCGTGTCTGGTGCCCACAGAGACCAGAAGAAGGTGTCAGATTCCTTGGAACTGTAGTTAAAGACAGCTGCCACATGGGAACTCTGGTCCTCTGGAAGAGCAAGCAACCAGTGCTTTTAACTGCTGAGCCTTCTTTTTCTTTTTCTTTTTTTCTTTTTAAAGCTAGAGCATAGCACGGACTTGTGGTCGTAGCTCCTTAGGAGACCAAGACAGAGGACTGCGGGTTTTATTCCAGTCAGAGCAACTTAGAACTTGTCTCAAAGAATATATAAAAAGAGAGCTGGGAATACAGTTCATTGGTAAAGTGCTTGCCTACCATATACTAGGCCCTAGTTTCAAGCACGAGTGTACACACAGAGACACACAGGTGTGTTTCTTTTTTTTTTTTTTTATTTCAGTTTGGCATACCACAGTTTATACTGTGTGTCAGATGTGCTTGTGGATTATTTGCAGGTGCCATTACAATTTCTGTGGGCTCCAGCCCTCATACCCTTTTTAAGAGGGCTAAGGAAAAGTAAGAGCATGAATGGAAAGAGGCTTTAAGGGAGGAATACCTTTGGCCATTTTAATGAATTAAAATTTTTAAGATTTAATTATTTCAGGGGCTGAAGAGATGGCTCAGCAGTTAACAGCACTGACTGCTCTTCCAGAGGACCTGGGACCTGACACCCTCACACAGACTTATATGCAGGAAACACCAATGCACATGAAATAATTTTTTTTTAATTTCATTATTTTATGTTGCGACATGGTGATGAGCAGACATTGTGCTGGAGAAGGCGCTGAGAGTAGAGAAGAAGTTACATCTTGATTCACAGGTGACTGTGGATCTGAATACTAGGTGTGGCTTTAGCATCTATGAGACCTCAAAGCCCACCCCCAGAGTGACCCACTTCCTCCAACAGGGCCATCTCTACCCCAACACAGCCACACCTCCTAATAGTGACATTTCCTTTGAGCTTATAGGGGCCAATTACATTCAAACTACCACAATTGCCTATACCTCAAAGAAACAATTATGATTGACACTCAAACCTGCTCCTCACCACAGCCCCCATTTTCTTGTTTTTATCATGAGAAAGGGTCCTCATAGCCCATTCTACCCTTAATGTCTTGTTCCTCTTGCCTTGGCCTCCCGTGTGCTGGCATTATCACCGTATTCCAGCTCTGTTAGCTTTTTTTGAGCCCTGTAAGTATAAAATTTATTTTGAATATTGAGACTATGGAGTTTCCTTACACAGCTTCCTTGTTTATATTCTACTTATATATTTGATTTGTATAAAAGTAGTCATTGGCCTAGCATGCACTAGGCCCTGGGTTTGATGCCTAGCACCGGATAGAAAATATAAAGAGTGTCAGGTGGTTGCACTCATTTGAAATTTGTGTTTGTGTACAGGTGCGTGTATGTGTATGTGCATATGAGTATTGAAGCAGGAGGCAACATCAGATGGTATCTCACTAACTCCACTTTTTTTTTTTTTTTTTGAGATACTGTCTCTCAGTAGATTTGGTGTGCACTGATTCAGCTAGGCTAGCTAGCAAGCAAGCTCCAAGAATTCACCTGTGTCTGTCTCTCCAACAATGATTATAGATGTACACTACACCCAACTTTTTTAAGATTGTGATTTTAATTTTTTATGTGTCTAGGTATTTTGCCTGTGTGTAGGTCTGTGTACCACATCTGTTTCTGGTACTTGTGGAGACTAAAAGAGGGCATGGGATCCCCTGAGATTGGTGTTACAGATGGTTGTAAGCTGTCAGGTGGTGCTGGGAATCAAACCCAGGTTCTCTGAAAGAGCAGTCAACGATCTTGATTGTGGAGCCATCTCTTCCTTTATTTTTCCTTTTTTCTATTATGTGTGTATGTTTGTGACTGGAATTACAAGTGGTTGTGAGACACTGGATGTAGGTGCTGGGAACCAAACTGTAAGACCAGTATACAGGCTTTTGTTTGTTTGTAGACTGGTCTGGTCTTGAACTGGTGAAAATAGGCCAGCCTCTGCCTCCTCAGTGCTTGGATTAAAGGTGTGAGCCACCTCCCACCCCCACCCCTCTGGCCTGCCATACACAGTCTTAACCACTCCAACCTCTGCACCTACCTTGCTACCTTTTTTATCTGTGTATTGCTTGACCTGATTTTTTTGTTCAGGGATCTGAACTCAGGTTATCATGTTAGTGTGGCAAGCACATTACTAAGTGATCCATCTCCTCAGCCGTCATTTCAGTTTTCATTTTATTTCCTGTCAAAAAATAATATGTGCAAGCCAGGTGGGGGTTGCACGTGACTTTAATTCCAGCATTTGGAAGGCAGATGCAGGCGGTTCTCTTGAGTTTGAGACTAGCCTGGTCTACACTGTAAGTTCCAGGGCAACAAGGGGGGGGGGCGCAACACAAGTTATGTGTAATGTGTGTGCACTCTCAAACTAAAACTGAAGATCCTAGATTTCAGGGTACTGAGTTTGATTTCCAGTACCATGGACTAAAATAAGTTTTTGAAAAACAAATTTTCATGGTACAGGAGCAGGGCTTGACATTGAAATTACCTTTTAGCTGTCTTGATACTTTGTTTACTGTAACCTTACCCTTTTTTTTTTTTTTTTTTTGGTTTTCCGAGACAGGGTTTCTCTTGTGTAGCTTTGCGCCTTTCCTGGATCTCACTTGGTAGCCCAGGCTGGCCTCGAACTCACAGAGATCCGCCTGCCTCTGCCTCCCGAGTGCTGGGATTAAAGGCGTGCGCCACCACCGCCCGGCAACCTTACCCTTTTGGAAGAGCCATGTTACTATATAACTGTTTTGCTAGACTTTTGTTCCATAGAATTATGTTGAGGTTCTTCCTCTGTCATTATGTATGTGCCACATGTAATCTCGTAAATATTTGGGTTCCTCTTTCTCCAGAGCTAATTCTCTAATTATTTTATCTCACTTGTATACATTTTGTTTTGTTTCTCAAGTTCACTGTCAGAAATTTCAGAGAAGTGGTGCTGCTGGGATAAATGCTAATGTGTGTTTTGTATTTCTTTTCCTTCTTCAGATGGAGTCTGTTTCTCAGCCTTCAGAAAACCATGGTATTCCTGTTAGTCATATTTCAGAGTCCTTGTCTACCAAATCATGTGGAGCACTGAGACCTGTCAATGGAGTTGTTAACAGGTAATTTTTAGCTCTTCTATTTCTCACACTTAATGCCCCTAGTTATTCCCAGTCAGGACTGAATAAAGAAACCCTATTTTTCAGTAATACTTTATCTTGTAGTAAGCCAGGGTTTTTTTTTTTTTTTGTTTGTTTGTTTGTTTGTTTTTTCCCCTCAAAACAGGGTTTCTTTGTAGCCCTGGTTGTCCTGGAACTCACTCTGTAGAACTCTAAAGATCCACCTGTGTCTGCCTCCCAATACCAAGTGTATTTTGTTTAGTATGTTTATGTAATCCTTTGTACCTACCATTATCTAAAAGAGACTGGCCATGGAGTAAAAGTCCTACAGTTAAATTAGGTGAAAGTTCCTAAGATCCCTATGCATGTGAATAAAATATATTTATCCTTAGAATTCATTATTCACTGGAGAACCGTTTTTAAGACTTCATTAATATTTGCAAAATTGTTTTCTTAAAATCATTTTTTTTCTATAGTTTTTATTAGGCATATTTCTGTCACGGAAGAGAAACTAACAATGAAAACTTGAGTTTGCTTATTGACTTTTACACCTTTCAGACACAATAGGTGTTGTGCACCGAGAGCCTCATGAGTAAGCACACATAGAGATAAGTGTGCATTTTCATTCAGAGTTGACCTGCTTCTGTAGAAAGCCTATCTGTGTCTTTGAACATTTGAAAGTCAGGAGCCCACATGAGAGGCTTTGTTTCCTCTGTGTTCTGAAATGTGTCTTCCTCCCTTTTTGTAGTCTTCAGCCTGTCCTGGCAGACCATGTTCCAGGTGACAGTTCTGATGCCGAGGAACAATTACATAAAAAGCAACGACTGAATTTAGTTTCTTCATCGTCTGATGGCACCTGTGTGGCAGCCCGAACTCGTCCTGTACTGAGCTGTAAGAAACGGCGGCTTGTTAGGCCCAGCAGCATTGTTCCTCTTTCTAAGAAGGTGAGTACTCAGATCAGGCTGTTCTCAACCTCACTCCATTTACCCAAAACTTTCCAAATCTGGCTAGCCCCCAAGATTTCCTGGGAGCCTTAAAAAAGTACAAAGTTCCTAAATCTGCTCCTCCCTAGAGCTTGGTTTAGTTGCTTTGGAGCTAGGATTGAAATTTTCTATTTTAATTTTTTGAGTTAGCATGCCTTGTTTGATGTGGCAGTTTCCCATGTGTAATTGCACTTTGTGCATAGGAAGGTCTTCTGTTCAAAAAGCTCTTAGACAACTGCAGCCAGATTTGAAAACTGCTGGAAGAGACTGGAAGTTGAGGTATTCCTAGGAACACTTTTCTGTTTCTCATCTGCTTTTTTCTACTGACATTGGCACTGTTAACCAGGTGTGGTGGAGCAGTAAGCCCTCTTTACTACGGAGCCGTCTCTTGCTTCTTCCTCCCACTTTTTCATTTTGAGACAAGATCTCTTGTGTGACACTCCCATCTCACCTCCTGTGTACAGGTGTGAACCACCAGGCCTGACTCTTGCTTTTGAGATTGTTTGTTGTTTGTTTTTTGATATAAGGTCTCAATATGTTACCAAGCTGGCCTGAACTCCTAATCCTCTGCCTTAGGTTCAAGGATTACAGGTGTACACCACCACACCCTACCAAAAGTGACAGTGTTGAAGGTTTTGCTTTATTTTATTTTACTTTATTTTTAGAATTTTGTTTTGATTGTCTGCAGGTTTTGCCTGCATGTTAGTATGTGTGCCCTATGCGTTGCCAGGTACACTCAGATCAGAAAAGGATAATGGATCCCCTTGGGCTTGGGTTACAGATGGTTGTAGCCCATCATCTGGGGTGCTGGGAGCTGAACATGCTCAGCTGCCGAGCCGTCCATCCCACTACAAAGACTGCTTTGGAAAGAGAATCTGCATTACAGTTTCTTTTCCTCCTAACTTCTTCATCCCTCCCTTCTTCCTTTGTGCTTTGGAGACTGTCTCCACTACTTAGCCCAGGCTGCTCTTCAACACTTAGGCCTTCCTTCTGCCTTTACCCTCTGAGGTCTGAGTGTATTTTATGTGTATGGGTGTTTCATCTTTATGCCTGTCATTTGTAGATCTTAATACCAGTGTTAGATTAAAGGCTTCAGTAAGATAAACTTGTTGGAAATAGCTGAAAATGACTTAATGATAAATTATAAAATATAAAAGGTCTTGAATTCCAAGGCTATTGTTTGGAAATTAAGAGGAATGTGTCACAAACTATTTGTTAGAAGATAAACTCTTTGTTGGAAGATTAATCTAGAGATAATTTATATTGGGGATGAATTAGAAAAAGAGAATGGGAACTGCAAAGGGACATGACAGTAGTAATTCCAGAGCAACAATAGTTTAAAGGCTCTTTGTTTTGATTTGTATTGGTTTTTGTTTTTTTGAGTCAGGGTTTCCTTTTGTGTAGTCCTGTCTGTCCTTGAACTCACTTTGTAGACCAGGCTGGCCTTGAACTCACAGAGATTCACCTGCCTGATTCTCCCAAGTACTAGAATTAAAGGAGCGAGCCACCACTGTTCATCTATAAAGACTCTTAAAGTTCTGAAGATAATGGTCTGATAAGATAGCTTAGCACAGATAACCATACTTGCCATCAAGAACAACTACTTTAGTTTGATTCCTGGAAGCTACATAGTGGAAAGAGATCAGCTCTGACCTACACACAAACACATACACACTTTTAAAAAATCTTTTTATATTTATTTATTTTTATTTAAAAAGTTCTATTATAGCGTCTGGAGAGATGGCCTACGGCTTAAGAGCACTAACTGCTCTTTTAGAGGACCTGGGTTCAATTCCCAGCATCCACATGATAAAAAGTTCTGTAAAAGTAATAGATTTTAATGGTAGCTCTATGGAATTGAACTTAGATCTCTGGAAGAGCAGCAAGTGCTCTTAACTGGTGAACCGTCTCTCCAGCTTTTGTTTTTTCTGAAAGTGTTTTATTTTAAAGGGGAGACATTTTGGTGGTTGGTTGGTTGGTTTGGTTTGGTGTTTTGTTTAAGGTTTTTGGTTGTTTGTTTTGTTACAGTCTTGCAACCTTAATTAACTGGGTAGGATGGGTAATTTTGTCTTCAAACAGTAATTAATAGTGGTTACATAAATATATTTAGTATCATTTTTTTCCTAGTAGAATCTACCATTGAAACTTACTAGGATTTAATTTAACCCCTTCACTTTACCCAATATAATCTTCAGGAGACTTTCTTTGTATGCCACCCCTCTGTGCAGCCTGTCTTCACAAAGAAGCAGTTGTGGAATGTTGATAAAAGACCACATTGTTCTTAAATATTTATTTTTCCCTTATTTAACATACTGAAAACATGTCTGTGAAGAGGCTGTGAATATAGTTCAGGGTCCCTAATACAGTACTCCAGGTTTGAGGGAACATTGAATGAGCACTTCCAAAGTCAGTCTGTCTGTCTGTCTGTCTGTCTGTCTGTCTGTCTGTCTGTCTCTCTCTCTCTCTCTCTCTCTCTCTCTCTCTCTCTTGTGCGCGCGCACACACACACACACACGCACGCTGTGATGACTGGCTTCTAGCATTTGGGTGGTAGAGGTAGCAGCATTAGGAGTTTGAGATTAACCTTGGCTACCTAAGACATTGTCTTAACTTCTCCATCAAAAGGGGAAACAGAAAAGACATAATAATTATAAGCCAGGTGTGGTACACATACCTATACTCTAGCACACAGAATAAGAAGGGATTCGTGGGTGTTTAAGATCAATCTGGGAAACATAGTACAACCTTGTCTCAAAAAATAACAGAAGCCAGCATTCAATGGGGAAAACTAAGAGGATTTCTGTGAATTTTGAGAGGAGAGAGATGACAGTTTTGGGTAGAGTTTCGGTACTCCTGTTTTGTTTTATTATGATAACTAGTCTTTTTTCTAGCATTCCTTTTCACAGTGCCATTCCCAGACATGTTCTTCATGCAGATTGGGTGTTGCCTAGATGATGTTATGAGTCATGCTTGGCAAGTGCCGGGCTTGTTCTTTGTAACACAAGATTGTAGGGATCCCACATTAGACATCTCAGCTTTTTGTCTCAAAGCCTAAAAGCTTGTGGTTTTAAATAATTAAGTCTTTGGAGGACTTAAATTTATTCATTTAACTCTGTCTTGTTCCTTTGTATGTAAAGAAAGTTTGAAGAAAATAATTTATCCTTGAAATTAATCTAACACAAAAATTGTGTTAGAACATTCAACTTGCATAATTCATTTACATTATATAGTCATGAGTTGTGTTTTGTTTTTTGAAAGTAGAGGACAATTTGAGAGATCTGGGTGCTTGGGACCAAAAGCATGTGCCACCACCATACCCATGGAGGATGTTAGGTTTTTCATCAGAGACAAATGGTCAATTTTGTTTTACTTTTCACAGGTTTACCGGAATAGCACCGCCCGCTCTGGCTGTGATGTCAATCCCTCTTGTGCTCTTTGTGGTTCAGGCAGCGTAAACACCATGCCTCCTGAAATTCACTATGAAGCCCCTCTGTTGGAGCGTCTTTCTCAGTTGGACTCTTGTGTTCACCCTGTTCTAGCATTTCCAGATGGTAAGATAGACAACAGAATTTTAAGTCTAACCAATGAAATCTAATAAGGTTCCAGGTGAAAGAAAATCAGTGATGTCAGATACTCTGTATCACTTTCTATCTTCAAAAACTTGTCAGAATTCTGCTGTTTGATCATGTGATTCATATGGAAAGATCGGTTCCTATAAGTCATTTTCTGACCTTGTATACACATTGGGGGCGGGGGAGGGGGGTAATATAAGTAGGACTGGAGCAGTGACTCAGAGGTTAAGAATACTTGCTCTCTTGAAGAAGACCTAGGTTTGATTCCCAGCCCATATGATGGCTCACAACCATCTGTAACTCCAGTTCCAGGGTGTCTTTTCTAGCTTCTGAGGGTACTGCATGCATATGGTATGTATTCATCATGCAATCAAAACATGCATACAAATAAAATAAAAATAAATATTTAAAATAAAAATCAGGGGCTGAAGTTTACTTAGCCGTTGAGAGCACTTGCTGCTCTTCCAGAGGACCCTGGTTTCATTCCCAGCACCCACATAGTGGCTCACAACTGTCCATAACTTCGATTTCCAGAGAACCAACACCCTCTTCTGGCCTCGATGAGTACTAGTTACACATGTGGTGCACAGACTATGTACAGCCAAACTATACAAAAATAATAAAATAAAACAAAACAAGAGTCTGGAGAGGTAGCTTAGTGATGGGCATGTACTGCTCTTGCAAAGAACCTGAGTTTGGTTCTCAGCACCAGCCTTGGGCCTTGAACTCAGTGGCTGCTTCTCCCTCCAGAGTGCTGGGATTAAAGGGAGGTGCCACCATGCCTTGCCCCCACTTTTTTTTTTTTTTTAAACACAATATTAGTATTGTTTCAATGCCTTTAATTAAGTTTTATAGATGGTTATGTTCTTACTAAGCCATAGTGTGAATGTGGTTACATTAATTCCTTGTCCTCGATTAGGAGCAGGGAGTGTTTCAGGGTCCCATGTAGTCTGTACTGGCCTCAAACTCTTTGTGTAACCAAGAATGACTTTTGAACGGCTGATCCTCCTGCCTCCACCTCCAGAGTGCTGGATTTACAGGCATGTGCATCATCACAAAATTGGGTCTGTGTGGTGCTGAACACTGAACCCCCAGGACTTTAAGAAGACAGGCACTGCTTCCATCAAATTTCTTATCTATTAATTTATTGAGTGTCTATTGGGGTTTCCCTCTCTACACTTAGAATCTTTGAATGTGGTAGCTATTCTATGTCCCTGTTTAAAAAAAAATAGTAATTTTATTTGTTTCCTAATCAGTTTATAAGAGTTGTTAGGAGACAGGATTTATCACTATAACAGCTCTGACTGCCCTGGAGCTCCAGACCAGTCTGGCCTTGAACTTGCGTGCTGGGTCTAAAGGCGTGCGCCACCACCATCTTGCATGGCCTTTGTTTTCTTATCACCTTATTTAGTAATCAGCTTAGTTCCTACCTGGAAATAACAGGTATGCATTATGTGTGTGCTCTTTGGGAAAGGAAACAAGACCAGATGAGAGCTCCACCTGCTGGCTGGGAAGATCTGTGCTGTTTTGTGAGAAACTACCAACATGTGTTCTTGAGGGTACTATGACTCCAGCAGGAGGAGGAAGTGAGCATTGCAAAATACCCCAAGAAGAGCAGGCTTGTGAACACAGAATATCCGAACTTAGTGAACTTAACGCAGTCTCATTTCATTTTCTTTGATGAAGCAGTAATTTAAGATGGAGTTAATTATCAATTTGTATTTTCCTTTACTTACCCGATAAAGTACTACACCTTCTTTGATAATAGCACTTCAGTCTTATCTAAATGGAAAGTGGGACATCATCCTGTAACTCAATGGATCTCTATTGCATTTTTTACTTTTTTGGGGGGAGCGGGGAGGCAGAGTATCACTGTATCCAGGCTGACCTCAGACTAATGATCAACCCTCTTTCCTTAGCCTCATAAGTGCTGGAATTATATAGATGAGAGCTACATGTCCAGCATTTTTTTTTCTGCCTTTTTTTTTTTTTATTTTTCTATTATCAGCTTGATACAGTATAAATTTTTATTCTAATAGTGAAATATTTTTTAATATTTTTAGTATTTCATCCCTTTGGGTCTTCTATCTAGTTTGATTTAACTTTCAGTACTCTTTTTTCCCCCCAAGACAGGGTTTCTCTGTTTAGCTTTGGAGCCTGTCCTAGAACTCACTCTTTAGCCCAGGCTGGCCTCGAACTCACAGAGATCTGCCTGCCTCTGCCTCCTGAGTGCTGGGATTAAAGGCGAGCGCCACCACCGCCCGGCTCAGTACTTGTTTTTAAACCCAGAGCCTTGTGTATATAGGCAAGCACTTTACCACTGAACTACAGCCCCAGCTTGTTCAAATTTTTGGTTCTTCCCATATCCTAGTATAACTACTATTCAATTAGTGTGTATACTGAGGCCAACAATGCCTAGGAACTTGCATTGTCCACTGATGGGAGAATTTAACAGAGTCCTGCTTATTCTTTTATAGAAGCGTTTAAAAGAAAATACAATAAAGTTTTGGCAAGTGTGAGTCTATTTTATATTTTGTTGTTTTAAGATAAGGTATCACTATATGTAGCCTTAGCTAACTGAACTTGAAGTGATCCTTTTGTCTCTGCCTCCTGAATCCTGGGATAGAAAAATGCCTTGCAACTGAACTATAGCCTTGACCCTTTCACCCTCATTGGGGGAGGGGGAGATCTATAATAACCTCTGGGCCCTAACAGGTGGAAATCTTAACCTCTGGGCCCTAACAGGTGGAAAGCTTTTGTTTTTGTTTTTAAGTCTGTGTCTAACCTTTTCTATTTTTTACCAAGAATAAGTCTTTTTAGTGTTCAGTCAGTCTTGTTATTGGCTCCACAGTTCAGAGTGGGAGGTAGACCCCAGATTGTGATCAGTAGTTGGTAACAAGAACTCATGCTATTTTAGTGTATTTTTTAAAATCTCCTAAAGGAGCTGGAGAGATGGTTTACTGGGTAAGAGCCATTACTGCTCTTGCAGAGGACCCAGGATTCAGTTTCCAACACCCACATGGTGGCTCACAACTATCTATAGCTACCTCCAGGGGATTGGACACCCTCTTCTAGCCTCTGAAAACACCAGGTACACACAGTACACATACATACAGAATACTCATGCATATAAAATAAAAATGAAGCCGGGCGGTGGTGGCGCACGCCTTTAATCCCAGCACTCGGGAGGCAGAG